GTGTGTTGAGGATGAAAGGGGCCCTGGGACACACAACTAAATAGACACAAAAATAACAGGATTCCCTATATTTTCCCATACTTTCTGGGTTCGTGTCTCCCCCCCACTTCCCACATCTGCCCATGATTGATGGTGTCTGTGTGTGTGTTGTTTTTCCCTCCTGAGAGGAAGGCGCCCAGCGGCGGGGGCAGAACTGGCCGCACGCAGCAGAGTTCGCACCCCCTCCACAGGGGAGCAGAAAGGTACCAATACTGCCACTCCCCAGACCTCTCCCAGCTTGCGCTCTGATCGGGCCGGGCGAAAGGGGGGGATAGCAAAGGGTGGGGGTGAGAATCAGCTCACGCAGTAGCTGATTTTCCCGGCGCCTCCCGGCGCCGGAGGCGGCTATGTATCAAGGAGTGGGCCCCTCGGTGGGGCCGAAACCAGCTGCATGCAGCAGATTTCGTACCCCCCCTTTCCCAATCCCCCCCTTTCGGTCGGCCCGATCTGACCAGGGATCCACGGCGAATCCAGCCGTGCCAAGGGAGGGGTGGCGGTCAGAGGTCGGGGGGGTGAGATCGCAGCGGAACGGAAAGCCCCCCATCTGGAAATCGGTCTCGGTTTCGTGTTTCGTGTCGTGCGTGCGGGCGGGCGAAGCTGCGTGGGCGCGCGAGTGACCCCGCCGTCGCTAGGGCGATTGGGATGCAGTGGACCGCCCCTCCGCCCCCGGTGGGCGCGCGGTGGCCCGGGGTGTCCCACCGTGGTGTCCTGTGATGTCCCAGTGGTGTCCCGTTGGTGTCCCGTCGGTGTTCCATCGGCAGTGGGCGGGCGGTGGCCTGGGATGTCCAGCCTTGGTATCGATAGTGAAGCCGATGGTGAGATCGATAATGCGATTGCTAAAAGGGGATGGATCGTGAGATCACAAGTGAGGTTGATTGTGACATTGGTTGTGCTCGCGATGTCGGATGCGCAGGGAGGCGACGTCCCCTGGGTCGTGCAGATCTCGCGAGGACAGGCGATCTCCCATGGAGCGAGCACAACAGGATCGATCGCTGAATCCATTGGTACTCCGACTTGCTGTGACGTCCATAATGGGATCGATCGAGTGAGATCGAAAACAGGGACGATAGTGGCATTACATCGCAGCGCACCATCGTCATCACGTGTCGTCGCTAACTCCAGGGCGCGTCACCAGCATCGTCATACTCACACCCATCGCCTGTGCCGGCAGTTGGTTCTTGCCCCCCCACCCTCCAAACCTCCTTATCGCCCGAAGGGTGGTCGTATAAGTGTACCTATACGACCACCCTGCGGGTGATAAGGAGGTTGTGGGGGAGGGAGGGGGGTGGCTCATGACGATCTCACATCAAAATCACTATCGATCTCACATCGATCTCACTATCGATCTCACTATCGATCTCACATTCGGTCTCGCTATCGATCTCAATCGATATCACAATCGATGTCACAATCGATCTCACATTCGGTCTCACTATCGATCTCACTATCGATGTCACTATCGATCTCACTATCGATCTCACGATCGGTCTCACAGTCGATCTCACGATCGATCTCACGACAGGACACCGACGGGCCACCGACGGGACGATGCGGGCTCGATCTTTCAATCGATCTCATAATCGGTCTCACTATCGATCTCACAATCGATCTAACTATCGATATCACAATCGATCTCACAACCGATCTCACTATCGATCCCACTATCGATCTCACATTCGGTCTCACAATCGATCTCACTTTCGGTGCCACTATCAACTTCACGATCGATCTCACTATCGATCTCACAACCAATCTCACTATCGATCCAACATTCGGTCTCACATTCGGTCTCACTATCGATCTCACTTTCGGTGTCACTATCAATTTCACGATCGATCTCACTATCGATCTCACTATCGATCTCACGGCAGGACAACGGCGGGCGACCGACGGGACAATGCGGGCTACCGCTTGACACGCGCCGGCGGGGGAAACATCTATATTGGCGAACCACTAGCGACAGACAGGACAACGGCGGGCGACCGACGGGACAATGCGGGATACTACTTGACACGCGCCGGCGGGGGAAACATCTATGTTGGCGAATCACTAGCGACAGACAGGACAACGGCGGGCAACCGACGGGACAATGCGGGCCACCGCTTGACACGCGCCGGCGGGGGAAACATTTATGTTGGCGAACCACTAGCGACAGACAGAACAACGGCAGGCAACCGACGGGACAATGCGGGCCACCGCTTGACACGCGCCGGCAGGGCAAACATTTATGTTGGCGAACCACTAGCGGCAGACAGGACAACGGCGGGCAACCGACGGGACAATGCGGGCCACCGCTTGACACGCGCCGGCGGCGGAAACATTTATGTTGGCGAACCACTAGCGACAGACAGGACAACGGCGGGCAACCGACGGGACATTGCGGGCCACCGCTTGACACGCGCCGGCGGGGGAAACATTTCTGTTGGCGAGCCACTAGCGACAGCAGAATGAATTCCTCTCGCCCGCGCACGCAGCTTCGCCTCGCCCGCACGCACGACACGAACACGAAACCGAAACCGATTTCCCGGTGGGGGGCTCTCCGTTCCACTTCGATCTCACCCCCCAACCTCCGATGTACTATGTACCTTTTGCTCCTCTGGCCCTCCTCCCCCTGGCGACCCCTTTCCGCGTCCCCCTTCTGCGCGTCCCCCCCAACCCCTCCCCAGAACTCCGACGTCATGACTCTTAAACGGCCTGGGCCTCCCGATGTTCGGGCGGAACTTAATGGGGGGGTCATAAACAAGGGGGATCAGAAAAGGTCCCCTTTCGTGCCCCTTTCGGGCCCCTCCAGAGCCCCAGGGGGCTCTCGTTTAAGTACCGTTTGGGTACCTTTTCGAACCACCCTCGCCACCCCCCCATTTATGACCCCCCCCTTACGCGGCGCCCAAGATGTCTGGACCTCTTCCCCCCCCGGGACAGGCTCTGCATCCCGAGCCGTCTCTCTCTGGACGGCCGCCGGTGCCCGGCGAGGGGGCGGAGGAGGACGATGAGGCGGAGGGAGGAGGAGGAGGACGATGAGACGGAGGGAGGAGGAGGAGGAGGAGGAGGAGGAGGAGGAGGAGAAGGAGGAGGAGGAGGAGGAGGAGGAGGAGGAGGAGAGGAGGAGGAGGAGGGGAGGGGTGAGGGGAGGGGGGAGGACAAAGAGGAGGAGGATGAAGAGGAGGAGGAGGAGGAAGAGGAGGAGGAGGATAAGCAGGGAGGAGGAGGAGGAAGCGGAGGAGGAGGAGGAGGAGGAGTGAGGGAGGAGGAGGAGGAGGAGGAGAGGAGGGAGAGGAGGAGGATGAGCAGGAGGAGGAAAGTGAGGAAGAGGATGAGGAGAGGAGGACTTGGAGTAGCCGCCCGCCGCCACGACGCCCTCACGACGAGGGCTTCCTCCGCACCCGAGCCTCCACAGCCCCGCCCTGCCGCCCGCCAGCCAGCGGTCGCTCCCAGCCTGCCCTTCGCCGGCGCCGCCGCGCGGAGGTGCGCGCGGCGGCGGCGCCGCCGCCGTGCCCTCCTGCTGGGGAGACCACAGGGTACCGATAGCGCCACTCCCCGGACCTCTCCCGGGGTGCGCTCTGACCAGGATTTCGGGGCGAGTCCAGCGGCGGCGACGAGGGCCTCCCGGGAGGCCCCCAGATGGGAAAACGAGAGGAGGGTAGAGGCATGAGTACCCTTTCCTCCCCTGACCTGCGGCGGCTCCCCGGCGCCCTCGGCAGCCGCGTGCCACAGCAGCTGGCGGCACAGCGTGCTCTTGCCCGCGCCGCCCGGGGCCACGAGCAGCAGGCGGCGCAGGCGGCGCAGCTGGCCGATCGACGAAGGAAGAGAGGACGGCAGAAGCGGGAGGAGGGGGAGGAGGAGGAGGACAAGCTAGGTGCGCTCGCGTCATATCTGACGTCCTACCCCTCCCTCCCATCCCTTACCATGGCGCTGATTTTCTCTATCCGCGGACGCGTGTCGTAGCGGACCTGTGGCTCCGCGCGCGCGTGCGTAGTGGGTGGTGGTGCGCGTGCGTGCGTGCGTGTGTGCGTGGCTGTGGTTATGGTTATGGTTGTGGTTGTGGTTGTGGTGAGTGGTGGTGGTGGTGGTCGGTGTGGGTTGGTGGTGCGGGTGTGGGTGGTGGTAGTGGTGGTGGTGGTGGTGGTGGATGGTGGTGGCTGGTGGTGTGCTGCGGTGGTGGTGGTGGTGCTGGTGTGGTGTTGGTACTGGTGCTGGGGCTGGTGCTGGTGGTGGTGGTGGTGGTGGTGGTGGTGGTGGTTGTGGTGGTGGTGGTGGTGGTGGTGTCGGTGCGGCGCGGTGGTGGCGGGCGGATGGGCGCGCGAGAAAAAGGCCCGCGCTGGGGCGAGAACGCCATCCTGAACGACGGAGGCCAAACACCGATCCGAAAATGAGGCCCACGCTGCAGCGGGAGCACGATCCGGAACGATTCGGGAGCAGAAATGAAGCCGGCGCCTCAACGAGAGCAGCATTTTGGGAAAAAATGACGCCGGCGCCTCAGCGAGAGTCGTTTCCCGGGATTTCCCGGGAATCCTGTGTGTTAAAAAACAGTACGCGGAGGGTGCGCGGCCATCACCCGGACGCCATCAGGGGAAGAGGGAGAGTATTTTCATATTGAGTAATTGTGGAGGAGGAGGAGGAGGAGGAGGAGGAGGAGAAGGAGGAGGAGGAGGAGGAGGAGGAGGAGGAGGAGGTGGAGGTCGCATGCCCGCGCGGATCTCTCGGATCGGCGCTGGACACCCCTGGCGGCGCCGCCGGCGCCGATGCAAGAACTTCGCGCGCGCCGTCGAACGCCTACCTTGAGTGCGAGGACGGCACCCATGCACCGTACCATGTCTGAGCCCTCAGGCCCGGCTCCAGCACGGCACGGTTCACGATTGCTTCAGCTCGGGGAGCTGCCACGAACTGTGCACCGTACAGCTCCTGGGTCGAAGATCGACGACGCCGCGGGACGGATTCTGCCGCTTTCCCTTCTTCCAGAAGAGGGCCGCGGAGCCCGCCAGCTCCGCCGAGGAGCCCGCGCCGCCGAACTCCCCCACCACGGTCGCGGGCGCCAGCAGCTCGCTCTGCAGCGGGCTCACAGGCTGGCGCGTCACGAGGTCCTGGAGCATCGTCGAAACGATGCCTGGGCCCCACTGGCCCAGTGGCCGGTTCAATCCCCAGATAGGGGATAGGGGCTGTTCCCCGCAGGCCTCGAGGGGCGTATCCCCGACTGGGGGGTGAAATGGTGGGAATCGGGCTAGAGCCGGGGATGTGGTTGGGGATCGATGGCACGATTTACCAGCCTCGAACGTATCCCTATCCCTAAGATTGACACGCCAAAAGGCAATGACAGTCTCAGGGACTCGCCATCAAAAAGTAAGGGAGTCCCTAAGATTGGCATCGTGATGAGGTGCCCAGCATAGGGATAGTGATATGTTCCAGGCTGGTAAAAGATACTTTTGAACGCCCGAAATGGGTACGGAAAGAATGGGTACGATGCCCAACGACAAGTGTTGCCCCGAACCAGCAGCGGCCGCTGTTGGGCAGGCGGCCTCCCGTCTCAAGTGGACACAGGCCGCGGCGGCGCGGACAGCGAGTCCTGTTCAAGACGAACAGGAACTGCTGTTGGGCATCGTACCCCTTCTTTCCGCACCCATCTCGGGCGTCCAGAGTTTTTTGTTTTCTCGCCGGAACACGTATCGCCCCCGTGTGTGTGAGCGAGCTGGAAGATACAGAATGGCCCAACCAGCCAATTCACAAAAACCAGCACGTCATAATATAGGACGCGGGAGGGGAGAAGAGGGGGAGGAAGGAGGAGGAAACCACAACGCCCACACAATGGGGAGATGCGGAGCTTCGCATCTCGGGCGTCCAGAGTACTGAGTCCTGGAGCGGCGCCAGGACCTCCCCGAGGCCGTAGGCGGTGCCCGCCAGCTGCCGCAGCGCCCGGCGCACCTCGGCGCCCTCGCTGGCGGCGGCGATCCAGGCGGCGTCCTGCTCCTCGGCCGCCGAGGCCGCCTGCGGGTCCGCACGGAGGAGCAGGCGCGCAACCTCTCGGGCGTTGCCGGCAGCGCCCCCCGGCCCCCAGGTGCCCCTTAAGAGCCCCCCCCCAGAGGCTACACCAGGGAGTCTCCAGGAGCCCCAGGAGGGCCTCAAGAGGCCTCAGCGTCTTCCGCCGAAATTGTCCAGAAGACGCCAGTTTGGGGGGGTGGGCTCGCGACGACGAGAGGTCCTCCTCCCTCCTCCCTCCTCCCTCCTCCCTCCTCCTCCTCCTCCTCCTCCTCCTCCTCCCCCCTCCTCCTAAATCCTCCTCCTCCTCCTCCTCCTTTTCTCCTCCTCCTCCTCCTCCTCCTCCTCCTCCTCCTCCTACTCCTCCTCCTCCTCTCCGCCTCCTCCTCCTCCTCCTCCTCCTCCTCCTCCTCCTCTTCCCTCCTCCTCCCCCCGGGATTTCCAAGGAGGCCACCAGGGCCTCCAGAGCCCCCCTCGGAAGGCCCAGAGGGCCCCGGGGGCTTCGGAGTGGAGCGAGAAGCGGGGGGGCACCTTGGGCCAGGGGCACCTTTCGGGACCCCCGAACCTCGGGGGGCCACTGCTGGGAGGCCTTCGCAGGAAAGCCTGAGCGATGAAGGGGCCGTGAGGCCCGACTGGCCCAGGCTAGTAGGTGGAGAGAGCGGGGGGGGGGGTGAGAAGGAGCAAGCCTTCTCGGAAGGCGGCGGGGCTTCTCAAAACCCTCGCGCCTTCCGAGACGTTCCCCGCGTCTTCGGGGCAGGCCGAGAAATCTTCTCAGAAGGCCGAGGGACTTCTGAGCCTGAGCCTTCCGAGCAGGCCCGCCCCTTCTCTCTTCCCCGCTGGGCTCACCGCCGAGTCAGGCCCAGGATCAGGCAGGATGGAGCCAGAATTTTCACGGGATGGAGCCAGATTAGGCGGGACTGGGCCGGACGAGGTAGATCTTCGACCAGCAACGCGGAATCGCATCTCCCAGGAGTTGCGTCTGAACACAACCTGCTCGCGCTCCTTCTGCAGCCTGCTGCGCGAGAGCCGGTTCAGCATCCCACCGGACGTGCACAGGTCGACGGTGAGCCCGAGCTTCAGGGCGCACGCGGTCTCGAGGAGGCACCAGCTGCGGGAGAAGAAGCGGTGGGCCCCGTCGATCACCACGGCGGCCGAGGTGCATGCGCTCGACGACATCGCGGCGTAGAAGGCCGAGCGCTGCAGGGTGGCCCCGAGCTCGACCGCGTGCTGCGAGACGGCGAAGGCACACACCCAGCAGCCACGCTCCCGCCAGTCGTCCCCGCCCGCACACGTCTCCCTGCCGTGCAGCTCCAGCGCCGCGAGGAGGTCCCCGAACTCCTGCGACCAGGCGTGCACAGCGAACACCTCCGCGGGCTGCGGGGGGTAGAGCTCCGCAAAGGCGAGGCCGCTCTGCCGCGTCAGGGGCTCGATGATCTCCTCCCTGACGTCGTACATGGTTGGGCGGCCGTACTCCTTGGTCGACCTGCACTGGCGGAGGGCCTGGAACCAGTCCTCCCTCGCGAGGTACATCTCGCGCATCTGCCGCAGGCTGACCTGGGGAAGCCCAGCACGGCTATTCCCCAGGCCTCTCCTGGGACCCGTTTTGACGAGAGTTTCGAGGCGAATCCAGAGGTGACGACGAGGGCCTCCAAGGAGGCCCAAAAGAGCGAAAACGAGGGAGTGGTAGCGGTGTGTGTACCCGGGCTCGAATCAAGCGGCGTTACTTCGTCTTCATGATGCTTTCGTTTTGCGTCGTTTTGTCATTAGCTGCAAGACGAACGCGAAACGAAAACGGCCTACGAGATCGCCGAAACACCGTTCAGGTCGACCCCTGATGGGCACCCCTCCCTCCTCCGAGGACCGAGCACAGCTCTGGAGGCCGCGGCGTCAGCAGCACGCGGCCCCTGGCGGCGAAGGTGGCCTTCTCCTTCGCGGCCTGCCACAGGACGGCGTCCGCCCCCAGGAGGTGCGCACGGAGCTCGAGCGCCCCCCCGCGGGCCCAGAAGCTCGCGAGGCAGTCGACCTCTCGGGGCTCGAGGGGCGCCGGGCCTGCGTAGCTCTCCGCCACCTCCGGGGGGAGAAGCCGGATGCCGATGCTGGCTCTCACCGCACGTGAGGAGGAGGAGGAGGAGGCGGAGGAGGAGGCGGAGGAGGAGGAGGAGGAGGAGGAGGGGAAGGAGGAGGAGGAGGAGGAGGAGGAGGAGGAGGAGGAGGAAGAGGAGGAGGAGGAGGAGGAGGAGGAGGAGGAGGAGGAGGAGGAGGGGAGGAGGACAAGATCGAAAGCAGGTCTCACGCGAGATGGCACAGCGGCCTGACGCGGCGGCTGGCGCGGGCCGCCAGCGCGGCGCACTGCGCTGCAGACGAGGGCGCTCACGCACGACCTCACGCGGGAAGCTCGTGCGCCAAGGCCGGCGCAGACGGCCCCATTTCTTGCGTCACTCACACATTGGCCCAGGATCAGCACACACACACTGCCCTTGTGTTGCATTGCATCCTCGCGACCCTGTCTGCGTCGAATGCGTGTCGAATCCAGGTCGGCCTCGTCGGATCCGTGTCGAATCCGTGCCGAATCCGCGTCGAATGCCCGCGAAATCCGCATCAAGGCCGCATCGAGCCCGCGCCAGGCACAAAAAAAGACACCAATTTTGGGGGCAGGCGGGGTCCCCCGAAGATGCAACGTAACTTGTGTGGCCTGGCTGGGCACGGGCACTGCTCCTGGGCCCATGCGAGAGCCAAAGGCAAGGACCGCCGGCCAGCGTGGATTCCAAGCAGTGATGTCTTGCAGTTGATATGCATTGCAATCGAGGTGGCGCAATCAAGATAGTGCAAGCTAGGTGGTGCAATCGATATGGCGTAATCTATGCGGTGCAGAGCCATGCAAAGCAATTCGAAGCAAGGCTAGTCCATGCGAAGCCACTAACAAGTAATGTAACGCAAAGCAACGCAACAGCAACGCAACGCAACGCAACACAATGCAATGCCATGCTACGCAAAGCAATGCAATTCGATAGAACGCAATCCAGAGGACTGCAAAGCAATGCAAAGCACTGCGAAGCAATACAAAGCAATGCAAAGCGATGCAAATCAATACGAAGCAACGACAAGCAATACAAAACAATGCCAAACAGAGCAATGCGAGGCAATGCAAATCGACGCAAAGCGATGCAAAGCAATCCAATGCGATGCAAAGCAACGCAAATCAACGCAAAGCGACATGCGATTGCAGTACAACGCAACGCGATTGCAATGCAATGTGATTGGAATGCAGAGCGTTTGCAATGCAGTGCCATTGCAACGCAACAGGGCGTGGGGTGCAACGGGACGTGGGGTGCAACGGGATGGCGGCGACGCGCGGGAACGGGGCACTTGCCAGGGCGGCGGGCGGGCGCAGTTCCTGAGAAGGCAAATAAGACTCTCAAGTGCAAGCATCGTTTGCGCAATATGTATATACCCTCTCTCATGTCTTTCTTACCCAGACCCCCCTCATCGTTCCCACCTGGATCTCTGGCCCAAGAGACCCCCTGGACGCCCGTGCACCATGATCTCTACGCCTTCTGGGCCTTCTGGACGCCCCGGGCGGGCGGCCACACGGCCTCGTGAGGGCTCCAAGCGGCTCCGAGCACCCCTAAGACGCCCGAGGACGAACCACAGAACGCCCCTGAGAGGCCCTCCATATCCAGAGTGTTGTTCTTGACATGTGGATGTCGTATGATTTGTTGATACGCGGTTCTTCTGCTTCTAGGTGCGACCCGAGAAGGCCCGAAGAGAGCCCCATGACGACCCAGGATGGCCCCAAGACGCCTACCGAAGCACTCCAACTCGTGACCCACTCGTTGAAGGAGACCGTGGTTCGCAGCAAAGTGGCCCGACGAAGCCCCCAGAGGCCCAGAAAAAGGCGCCCAGGGGGCCTCCAGAAGCCCCCGAGAAATCACTGAAAAGGTTTCGTGAGGCCCCCAAAATGCTCTCCGAGGAGGAGCTTCTGAAAAAAACATTAGGAGGATGGGGGAGGGTTCGCTAGTGAAGGCGAGAACGAGGAATGTGCAGGACATCTGAGGGAAGGAGAAAAACAATACATGATGATACCGACGACGACACATACAACAACTAAGAGTACGGCAGGTCCGTGCCGTGTCGACCCTGGCGTTGGTTCCTGACACCGCGCTGGATCGTTCAACCTTGAACGATCGGCCGCTGCCGCAACGTCCGATCGTTCAACATCGACCGATTCTGGGCTGCCGGCGGCGTTCAACCTTGAACGCCCGCGCTGGGGTCGCCGCTGGTCGACACGACGCAAACCTACCGTACATGATGATACCGACGACGACGCATACAACAACTAAGAGTAACGTTTCCACGCATGCGCCTCTCCCACATTCCGCCCGCAGGCCGGTGTCGAGGAACCAGGCTTCGCGACGCGAAACGTCGATGCACGTCTGTTCACAACGATGGACGTCTATGCATCATGATATCTATGGATGCGATGGTTTATACACTTCCAGCTTAAACACATCTGTGTATATACATATGTATCCAGACATATACTGACATGTATGTGTATATAGATATCTATATTTATCAACACACATGTGTATGTGCATAGTGGACGTGTCAGAGGTCAAGGAGCCAAACCCACCTGATGTCCGCAGGAACGAAGGGTTGCCTGCGACGATGAGGAATTCGAAAGTCCCCCGAGCGCAGTCCCGCGAGACAAGACAGCGATGCATGGGGACGGAGACATAAAGATAGACGGGCGCACACACACGCAAAACAAACACGTACGCACACGCATGTACGTATACGACATACATATGTACACGCACTTCAAAGCATGCACAACAGTATAGATCTAGCTGAGACTACATGTCGCCGCGCCGTGTATTCTCCACGCGCGCAAGTGGCCCACGCTGGCACCCTGGCAAACCCACGTCAAACCTTGCGCCCCGCGCCCCGCGCACACGACGCGGGCACCGCGGCAAACCCCACGGCGAACCCACGTCGCCCGAGGCTGCGTATGCCCTGGTGGCCGCGGCCCCCTCCCCAAGACGGATGGCCGCGCGTCGGGACAAACGGCGAAGCCTCAGATCTTCGTCGCCATCTGCCCGCCTCGATGAGCCCCTCCACCAGAGCCGCCCTCTCATGGCAGCGCCCCAGCGCGGCCAGCGCTGCCAGCGCGGCCGAGCGCTCGGCCCGCCCCGCGGCGCACCAGGGGCGCCCAGGCTCGCCGCCGAGCAGAGGCCCGCGGAGCCCGCTCCACGCGGCGGGCTCCCCGTCCTGGGGAAGCCCTAAAGACGTGGGGGCCAGGCGCCCCGGTCAACCATGTTTTTTTTTTCGCCTGGACTCGATGTCTCGAGATCTCGATATCCGCCGACCCCTTGCGGGTCTCTAGGCGTGTGAGATTGTTCCCCCCCCATAACCCCCCCCCCGGGACCCCAAACCGGCAATTCGACCCCCCCCCCCTCGTGGTGGACGACCCTCCGCCGAACTCACCCGAGGTGTTCTGGGCTCCCCGGGCTCGGTGGGGAGCCTCCGACGCCACCCCCAAGATGGCCCAAGAGAGCACAAAATCGCCGAATGATCGCTTCAATGCGCCCAAGGTGGGCCCCAGGCGGCCTAAGAGGGCGCCACGACGCTCCAAGAGGCCTCCAACCGGCTGCCGAACAGAGGCTCCAGAGGCAAACGTCGTGCCATTCCTATGGGAAGACGTACATTTCTGGCATATACGCCTTTTCGGCAAACACGGCATTGAGCCCACGAGGCCGCCAAGACCGCTCCAAGAGGGCCCAAGAGGCTCCCAAGAGGGCCCCAACACGGCCCAAGCAGGCGCCAAGACGACCCAAGAGGCGCCCAAGACAGCCCAAGAGCCTCCGACGCCACCCCCAAGATGGCCCAAGAGAGCGCAAAGTCGCCGAATGATCGCTTCAATACGCCCAAGGTGGGCCCCAGGCGGCCTAAGAGGGCGCCACGACGCTCCAAGAGGCCTCCAACAGGCTGTCGAAGAGGGGCCCCAGAAGCAAACGTCGTGCCGTTCCTGCGGGAACACGTACATGTTTGGCATATACGCCTTTTCGGCCAACGCGGCGTTGACAGAGGCCCACGAGGCCGCCAAGACCGCTCCAAGAGGGCCCAAGAGGCTCCCAAGAGGGCCCCACCACGGCCCAAGAAGGCGCGAAGACGGCCCAAGGGCCGCCCAAGACAGCCCAAGAGAACCCCCAGGCGGCCCCAAGAGGATCGGCGATGCATCGACGATGCATCGCCGATGCATCGGCGACGTCGGCGTTGCATCGGCGACGCTGGCATAGAGAAAATCGGGCCTCTCATCGAGCTGCATCGCCGGTGCATCGGCGATGTGGCGGGATCCGTCGACCCCATCTACCCCAGAGATCCAACGCATTGAACAAAATCAAGACGCAGGTTTATCGCACATTTCGGCCCCATAGGGGCCCTCGCCGGGCCTCAGGACCGTCACAAAACGACTCAGGATGAAAAAGCGGTCCAGGGGAAGGGGTCGAGACTTCGGGGGACCACGCAATGAGAAGACCACGACATCGGATCTCTGAGACTCGGACCCCACCCGGGAGGCCTATAGGCTGCCGCCCCCGAAGTACCCCGCGGGCGCCCAGGACTCGCCGCCGGCTCGAGCGAGGAGCTCGCGCGCGGAGCCCTTCGGCAGCGCGGCCGCGGGCACGCGCGCGAGGCACCCCCTCGGCGGGCCGGAGCGGGGCTCCCCCCCTCCGCCGCCTCCGCGGCGGCCCCGAGGCCGCGCGGCCCTGCCGCTGCAGGGCGGCCGCTCGGCGGGCCGACGGGGCGGTCCCCTCGACGGCAGGAGGAGGATAAACCATTAGGAGGAGCGATGGCGAGAAGAGCAGAGGAGGAGGAGGAGGAGGAGGAGGAGGAGGAGGAGGAGGAGGAGGAGGAGGAGAGGAGGAGGAGGAGGATGAGGAGGAGGAGGAGGAGGAGGAGGAAGGAGGAGGAGGAGGAGGAGGAGGGGGAGGAGGAGAGAGGAGGAGGAGGAGGAGGAGGAGGAGGAGGAGGAGGAGGAGGAGGAGGAGGAGGAGGAGGAGGAGGAGGAGGAGGGGGGGGAGGGGGAGGAGGAGGAGGAGGAGGAGGAGGAGGAGGAGAGAGGAGGAGGAGGAGGAGGAGGAGAGGAGAGGAGGAGGAGGAGGAGGAGGAGGAGGAGGAGGAGGGGGAGGAGGAGGAGGAGGAGGAGGAGGGGAGGAGGAGGAGGAGGGAGGAGGAGGAGGAGGAGGAGAGGAGGAGGAGGAGGGGGAGGAGGGGGAGGAGGAGGAGGAGGAGCAGGGCGAGCCGCTCGAGGAGCAGGCTGGAGAGCACAGGAGCGCACGCGGAGCCCTCGACGAATTCATGGGCCCATGCTCCACCGCCACGGCCACAGGTAGGATGAGGAGGAGGAGGAGGAGGAGGAGGAGGAGGAGGAGGAGGAGGAGAGGAGGAGGAGGAGGAGGAGGAGGAGGAGGAGGAGGAGGAGGAGGAGGAGGAGGAGGAGGAGGAGGAGGAGGAGGAGGAGGAGGAGGAGGAGGAGAGGAGGGGAGGAGGAGGAGGGGAGGAGGAGGAGGAGGAGGAGGAGGAGGAGGAGGAGGAGGAGGAGGAGGAGGAGGAGGAGGAGGAGGAGGAGGAGGAGGAGGAGGAGGAGGAGGAGGAGGAGGAGGAGGAGGAGGAGGGGGGAGGAGGAGGAGGAGGACGAGGAGGGGGAGGAGGAGGAGGAGGAGGAGGAGGAGGAGGAGGAGGAGGAGGAGGAGGAGGAGGACCTCCCCATCCTACGTTCTTCCCCGTCCTACCTAGGGTAGTGGTGGTGGTGGTGGAAAACTGGCCCATCACTCGAGGTCCGTAAAAGTCTCCTCGCAACGGCGCTGCGCAGCGCGCCAGGGGCGGCGCCGGAGGCGCCGCCAGGCGGGGACCCAGCGCCGAACCAGGCAATCCGCGCGGATCTCGGAAATCTTCTGCTTGTGCTGCTCTAAAGCTTGCCCCTCCACCAAGACGTTGCTGCTGGAGTCGGGTCGGGCAGGCCCTCCCGCAGGCGGCTGTTGGAGGAACCACTCCATAAACAGAGTCGACCGAGTTCTCGAATATCGTCAAAACTGCTGGACATATCGCCCCCAGGCTACTGTTCGCTATTCTTCCATATCCCTCCCGTGGAGGGGCGTGCCCGACTCGGTGCTGGAGCCCGGGTGCGCCCCGGGAGCAGCGCGCCCGACGAGAGCGCACCCTGCCCTGTGCACGGCGGCCACGGCGGACACCGGGCGCGGCCGAGGCACCCCGCGCCCCTCGCCACGGGAGCTGCGCGAGGCGGGGAGTCATCCACATTCGGCGGCGTGTACAGAGGGGGGGGAGGGAGGGGGGAGGGCTTCTTGGAAGGAGGCTGGCTTCTCAGAAGGCGCCGGCCTTACACATCCGTATGTGAGGCCCGCGCCTGCTGAGAACCAGGGAGGATGCTGAGAAGCCCTCCCTCCCCCCACCCCCCTCTGCGCGTGGCTGCCATGTTCACCGCCTGGGAACCGACGTCCTGGTGCCCCAGCGGGCGGCGGACGGGGATACGTAGATGCTGGCCCCTGTGGGCCCAAGAGTATGTACATGTATATATATATATATAATGAGAGATATACATTTACTTGTATGCATACATACAAACATACATACATACGTACGTACATATACACATACATGCACAAACATACACATACATACATCTATATATAATTATATACCGATATACGTATATGCATATGCATACACATACACACATATGTATATACACATGTATACACATATACATATACATACACACCCACATATACATATACATAGACCTAGACACATACAACGACATACACATATTTGTATGTGTATATATACACTAGAACCATCGCGCGCTTCGCGCGCGCGCTCAAGTTCTAGCTAGGCTTGATGAGCTTACTCATGGACTATAAGTTGTGACGTTTCTTCCATCCAGGGGCTTTTTGGGGAGGCCCTGTGCCAGCCTCTGGAATCTATCTGTTCTCAAGCTCTTCGGTCTTTCAGCGTTGGAAGCGGGAAACCGTGAGAATGCGAAAAACATAGAAAAACAAACAGCGGAAATCAACGATTTCACCCTTCTCGGGCTCTCTCGGGACGGCTCCCCAAGCTCTCTTGGGCTGTTTTTGGGGCCTCGTCGGGGCTTTTTGGAGGCCTCTCGGTCTGGGGTGTGTTGGAAGCCTCTGGGGGGTCCCGGAGTCCTCTCGGAGGTCTCTGGAGGCCTCCTGCTTCCGCTCTTGGGCTCATCTTGGGCTCCCGCTCTTGGGCTCCTGCTCCCGCTCTTGGGCTCATCTTGGGTGGGTGGTCCAGAGCTGTCCTGGGCGCCTCTTCGGCAGTCTTGGGTCCTTCTTGGCAAGTTTTGGAGCCGTCTTCGGGAGCTTCTTGGGCGATCTTAGGGCGATCTCGGTGGCCTCTTCGGCCGTGTTGGAGAGTTGGAAGCATGAAATGGTGAGAAGGCCAAAAAAACCCAAACAGCAACATGAAAAAAAACGATTATAGGTTCTCCTGGCGCTCTCGGGAGGCCTGTCGCTCTCTTGAGGTCTTTTGGAGGCCTCCTGGGCATGGAGAACCGCCCGAGAGCTATCTTCAGTTGCTTGGGAGCGTCTTGGGCCGTTCTTTTACGTTCTGGGGGCCTCTTGAGGTCGTCTTGGGCTGTCCTTTCGGCGTTTTGGGGGCTCCCCGGGAGGTCGGGAAGCGCGGTACCAGGAGCGTTCCGCAGATGTTCCGTAAGGTGTGGGACCCCTGGGAGGGGGGAGGGTATTTATTGAACTTGAAAAAAAAGAATCTCTGGAGTGTATCTTTTCTCAAGCTCTTCGGTCTTTGAGCGTTGGAAGCGGGAAAACGTGAGGGGGGCTGTTTGGGGGGCCTCGTCGGGGCTTTGTTGGGGGCCTCTCAGGGGTCTGGGGTGTGTTGGAAGCCTCTGGGGGGTCCCAGAGTCCTCTCGGAGGTCTCTGGAGGCCTCCTGCTCCCGCTCTTGGGCTCATCTTGGGCTCCCGCTCTTGGGCTCCTGCTCCCGCTCTTGGGCTCATCTTGGGTGGGTGGTCCAGAGCTGTCCTGGGCGCCTCTTCGGCAGTCTTGGGGCCTATTTGGCCAGTTTTGGAGCCGTCTTTGGGAGCTTCTTGGGCGATCTTAGGGCGATCTGAGGGCGTTCGGCTCCGAAGCTGGAACCCACTATACTATGACACAGTAGCATATGAGACAGCATACTACAGCATAGGTTGGCAATGTTTCGATATGCAAGGGCGGGGATTCTGATTCGCATGCTCGACCGCTAACTCCATACAACGAGCAGATCAGATATGCTTTCTCCAAACGAAGCGGCCCCGACACGCCAAGAGCATGCCGTCGCAAACTAAGCTCCCTCTGGCCTGCAGGCCGCAACCCCTGACCCAGACCCAGCCCGCGTGCACCGTCAAGATACGGCAACGACTGTCGGCTCGAGGAGCAAGAGGAAGCAAAAGGGTGAAACACGAGTGCTGGTAGTACTATTCTCAGCCCTCCTGCTCTGGGTCGTCGTTTTGAATAGGGCGCTCTGGTCTCCAGTTTTTCCGCCTCCCTCCTCCTCTTCCTCCCTCTTCCTTAGAGCATACACAACCAGGATACTATGCAAGCCTGGGCCTCACATGTCCTTGTACGGCGCGTGTGGAACACAGGGAGGGCCCACCCTGCGAAATCTGATGTGCTATCAGATAGCACGAGAGGGCCACCCTCGCTCCGCACCCGCGAATGGTTCTGAGTGCTTCCCTGAGCTTCGCCACGACAGTCACTACAGTTGGATATAAGGAATCAGCTCCTGTGGTCACTGATGTACTGACTCGGCTGCCATTTTACTGTTGGTAACTCGGGCTGGCCAGAGCATCCACAACCAGCAGTATGGCAACCACAGGCCCCCTCGAGCTTCCAAGGGGACTGCATCTAAGCTGTTATGGCGGCCCCACCTGTGACAACCGTGGTCTCGATCAGTGCAGCCGCCAAGACCAGTACCCCACTACATTCAGCAAGACTCCCACGAGGCTCTTGGGCATCCGATTCCCAGGGCTCTATCAGAGGTCCCACGGCCGTTGTGCCCACCCAAAGGGCACCCATCAGACCCCCTTGGGCAAGTCTCAAGGCGGGGCCTTCGAACCCAGCTATAAAATGACCTACCTGCCACGCATGTGTCAGGGACTTGCAGAGTAGATGTTTTTCAGTCGCTGCATGTTTTGTGAACCAGGTGCTGGGGAAGAGACAGACTGTGACGACAGAGAACGACTCTTCTCAGATCACGAGTTGCTGGCAAGATTATATGCCTTTTTATGTACGCGACGTGGATCACAATTCCTCAGAGGCGTCAGATTGTGAACCCCCAAGAATAGCAACACAAGCAAACGTGCCGGTCCTGATACCGCCACGTTCGTGGACCCCTGCTATGACTCCCACTATTGAAGGCACCCATCTTTCTTCCCCTAGCCCCCTGGGGGCTTCGACGAGAAAAATATGCTGGACCCTTGGCCTATTGGGCGTTACCGGGGATTGTCTGGAGATGTCCCGGCGGTGGGGGTCGGGGCCCAGGGGCCGTACATATATATATATATATATATATATATATATGTATTATCTTATATATATGTGTGTATACACATACGTATATATATATAACTATATATACATATATATATATATATACATAGAACCATCGCGCGCGCTTCGCGCGCGCTCAGGTTCTAGCCCAGGCTGGGGGGGCGCTGGACGATCTTGGACAACGCTATCAAGCACAGGCGCGCGACGGCATCTGAGGAGCTTCTGGGGTGTTCCGCATGCTTCGTCAACTGGCTGTTGGAGGCACCTCTTGGGTGCCTCTTGGGGGGGCGTCTGAGGGTCCCCTGGGGGCATCGGTTCTGCAATCTGAAGCCGTCATTGGCCGTCTTGGCTGCGTGGAGGCCCGACTTGAGGCCACCTGCGGCCAGATTGAGGCAATCCGGAAGCCTCCCGGGGGCCTCCTGGAAGCAGTTTTGACGCATCGAGGGCACTCTTGGGCTATTTTAAAACCTCTTGGACGTCTCCTAGGGGCCTTTTGGGCCCTCGGGAAGCTTTTGGGGTCCTCGTCGGACCACTTCGGGGCCTCTTGCGGCCTCCTGTGGGCCTTTTGGGGGGAACGCTCTGCTGTTGGGTCGCGTTCCCCTTCTTGGGCCTCTCTTAGGGCTCTTGGGGCCCTCTCGGGCCGTCTTGAGCGCCTCAAGCACCGTGTTGGGGCCCTCTTGGAGGCCTCTTCCTCTAAATTGTAGCGGTATTGGAAGCCTCTTGGGCCGTCTTGGAGAATCGGAATGCTAAAAGGCCGAACAACATTAAAACCCGTCAAAGCCCAATCGTAAAACAATGAGTTGGGCCTCTTGGGGCCACATTGGGAGATCTCTTGGAACCTCGTCGGCCCTCTTGGGAGCTTCTTGGGGGCTTCTTGGGTCCGATTTGGGGCCTCTTGGGACTTCCCGAGAACCTCTCGGGGTACAAAGCTCGGATTCTCGGTTCGTGTTTCCCTTCTTGGGCCTCTCTTGGGGCCGTCTTGGGGCCCTCTCGGGCAGTCTTGGGCGCCTCAGGCACCGCCTTGGGGCCCTCGTGGGCCGCCCAGGGCCCTCTTGGAAGCCTCTTCGGCTATCTTGGAGCTGTCTTGGAGGCCTCTTCCTCCTCCTCGTCCCCCTCCTCCTCCTCCTCCCACTCCAGCTCTCGCTCCTCCTGATCTTCCTCTTCCTCCTGCAGCGTGTTCTGGAAGGCTCCCGCTGGAACATGCTGTGCACAAGTGCTTTCACTGCTCCCGCCACCGTGCCCTGGGTGGTGGGTCAGATGCCTCATGGGTGTTGGTTTGGATCTCGTGGTTGGCCTGTCGGGGACGTCGTGAAGGCAGTTTCGCAGCTTCTCGGTCGCCGTTTTGGGACCGTTGTGGGGCCTCCTCAGGGCTGTTTTGTGGCCTCTTTAGGCCTCGTTTGGGCCTCCTGGGTGCCTCTTGGGGGCCTCCTGGGGCCTCTTGGGGGCTCCTTGGGGCCTCCTGGGGCACTCTTCAAGCGGGAGGGTCGAACTTTGGAGTTGTGGTCCCCCTCTTGGGCGCATCTTGAGGCCGTCTTGAGGCTCTGTTGGGCTGTCTTGGGCGACTCTGGGGCCGTCTTGGGGCCCTCTTGGGCAGTCTCGGGGTGCCTTGGGGGGCCTCTCGGGCCGTCTTGGACCTATCTTGGGCGTCCTGGAGCGGTCTTTCGGCGACTCGGGGCCCGCTTAGGCCGTCTTGGGGGCCTCTGGAGGCCCTCCTGGACTATGTTGGACCTCCCCGGCCGCCCCGTCCTCCCACGG